TTTTTCAAAAGCAACTTGACATCTTCATTCCAGACTAACGGCCCTTATTTTTCCGTAGTACCTTGAACATTGGTTTCACGTAAACATTTAATTTGGAATGAACCTAGCATGTAATTCAATCTTCCCCAAAAAACCTCGACCTCCTTTTCTGTTCTGGGCGCAAGGCATTTCCGTTATCTCTCTACTTTGTCCGTATCAACTTCTGATCCTCTTGAAACTACCAGGAAGCCAACAAGTGGTACCCAACTTTACTCCAAAGACGTTGCATTTGGCAGGATTTTAAGATCTGAGGGGTTTATGAAAATACTTTCTCAGTCTCTCAAATATTTTCCTAGATTGAAATAAATGGGAAACATCACTCAAGGTGGAGCATGAATGTCGCTGTGGGGAAGTATGTCTGTCAAATGCATGTCATCAGACACATAAACTTCAATTTCGCTAGATCGTGCATCATTCGATGAAACCACGTCCCTCACCATATCGTCACCCGATGTCCCTGGTAACGTGTTGACCAACCATACCAAGTGGCCAATGGTGCAACGTAGTTCATATATGACCTGCATAAGCTTGACGTGGCAAGTAGGAGAAGGGGAAAGCGAGGAGAGCAAGAAAAGAAGCATTCGTTGTAGTCACGAGAAGACATGGATAAGCCTTATGTGTGAGAATCGTTCCACCACAACACCGGAGTAAAGGGCATAATAGTTGTTTCCATATAACGTCACGTGCCATTGGATATAATTGTGTGTGAGTGTAATATGCGCGAGACTGCGTCTCATCGCGGGGGGGTAAAAATACCGAAACTCAGGTAGCTAATACTTTGTGGCGATTACTTAAGCTAGCCAGAGTAATACGAGGGTAGATAGGTAAACGGGGAATATACATACGGGCTAAGAGCTCACTATAGACGCGGCTAAGTATCCTGCGTCTACAGCATGAGTACACCGGACAGCTCCGCACACAGAACAGAAAAGAGGTCGAGGGTGGGGGGGGAAAGGGAGGAAGGGGAGGGGAAGAAGGAAGAGAGGGGGGGGAGGAAAAGGGGAAAGGGGACTAAAGGAAAAATCAGAGCAGTAGTAGGCGATGAAGATTGGTCAAGTGCTTGAGGGAAAAGGTCAAACAATCATGCAAGACCCTCTGGTATTGCGTCCCCTATGCCAGGAAGGCTCATTTGTATTGACCGTTTGGATAATTCAATGGGTTGTGTATTGGGTCAGCATGATGAAGACGGGAAAAGAGAGCATGCTATATATTACTTGAGCAAAGATTCACAGATTGCGACAACCGTATTCGTCGTTAGAGACGAACTTGTTGTGCACTGGCGTGGGCTACTCATCGTCCTAAGGCAATACATGTTGAGCCACTCTACTTGGTTGATATCAAGATGGATCCTATCAAGTATATTTTTGAAAAGCCTGCTCTCACTGGAAGGATAGCTCGATGGCAGATGTATTGTATGGAGTATCCATTGTATATGTTACTCAGAAATCTATCAAGGGTAGCGCTTAGCGGAATATTAGCCCACAACCAATGATTATCAGCCAATGCAACCTGTTTTCCTGATGGATAATCATGGCTTTATTGCTGAGAAAAAAGAGGACAAGATGAAAAAGCTGGACGGTATATTCGATGGGCCCGAATGTAATGGCATGGAATAGGGTCCTTGCTATCTCTCCTAAGAATCAATACATTCCAAATGACGGCAAGGTTGTGTTTAATTGCACGAATAATATCGCAGAATATGAAGCCTGTGCCATGGGTATCGAGCAGCATAGAGTCTAAAGCAAAATAGGAGTAGAGGAGATTCAGCTTTGGCACAATCATTGAAGGGAGAATGGGAGACTAGGGATTGTGAAGATGAAATATATATATATATATATATATATATATATATATATATTGTTTCATCCTTGTCTAATTACCTATCTGTTCCTCATACCTATTTTTATTTTAAATTATTAAAATAACTTTAATTTATTAGATAATTCAACAAATATATTATTTTCTCTTTCATCTTTATTTTCATAACTTATTCATAAAGAGCATATTTAATATTTTTTTATTCTTTGTTATAATTATTGGTATTTATCTTATTTTTATTTAATATTTTTATTCTTTGTTTTAATTTTTATTTTTATTAGTGAAAATACACGTACTACAAACATGTTATTTTTTATGAAAATAAAAAATAATAAAATTATTATTATTATATTTATAAAATTAAATATAAATAATATTTTATAATTTTATTATAGATAATTATTTTAACTCTAAAAAATTGTTATAAAAAAGACATCAGATGAAAAATATCAACTTAAAAAAAAGTAATAGAAAGAGTAAAATTGACAAGTAGTTATTTTAATTTAAAAAAAAACAGTTATTTAGAAGGTAAAAATGAAAAATAAATATATACACAAAATGAAGAATCTCAACTCAATTTATATAATAGTATAAATTAACAAATTAACACCTGGACCCATTTTTGACAAACTCGAGGACATACAAAAATATTATATCACTCAGTGTGAAGATGAATATGAGAATAAATTTTATATAAATAGCATAATCACACTTGTTTCACTTTATTATCATCCTTAATATTAAAAATAAAACCAATAATCATAATAATAGAAACAATGACAATAATCATAACCAAAACTATATATATGATTTTTTTTATGTACAAATTTATATTTTAATTTGATCTTTTAAATATTTTTTAAAATTAAAATAATTATTTTATTAAGTTGACCGTTTTCAAAAGTTTAATCATTTTTTAATTATAAAACTTTTTATAAAATAAATAAAAGTTATTTATAATAAAATTATAAAAATTTATTTATATTTAATTTTCTAGTTTTTAGTTATGTGGTAAAATTTTAATATATTTTAGTTCTCAAATTTTAAAATTAAAATTTTTAATTATTTTTAACATGTTAAACATATTTCTTAATTAACATTTAAATAAAAATATATCAAACTATATAAAAGAAACTCAAATTGTGACATAAATATATTCGACACTTAAAAAATGTAATCTAAATATGTTAAAAATATATTTATTATTTTAAAATTTAAGAACTAAAATATTTAAAGTTTTAGATAAAGGCGAATTCTAAATTTTTATCAAAGTTCACTTAAAAACATATTATTTCTAACAAATAATAATAATTATTCAATATAGTGAAAAACTATATTTAGGATTAATCTCCCTTGTGTTAAATATAGACATAGGGTTCTCTATTTATAATAGAAGAAATATAGGCTAAGCCCAAAATACAATTACGAAATAATAACAAATTAACTAAAAGATAA